TATATATATATATATATATATATATCTAATCTTGAGTTGAGGTGCCGCCAACTCTGGTTTGTTGGTAGAGTAGCTTCTTTAAATGTTGCAAATTCCCTCTGTTTACGGGTTTGAGTCCCTTTCTGACTAGTTTGTTGGCAATGAGGGCGGCCCTCGAATAGTTAGGCACATGAGGGTGGTTGGGGGCTTGTATAATAGCCTCCGGCCATTCTTTTGAATATATACATATCTTGCAATGAGAAATTGGCGTTTGTTTGGAATTCTAAAGATTAGAATGGTAGAACTACAAAATTTCCTATATGTGCTCTTAATAAATCTTTTCTGTTTCTTCCTGCTTGTTCAAAGTAACCTTTTTAGCCATTCATGAGGCAGCATGCTTTAACATAAACAATGTATCAATCCCCAATGTTATTATATCTAAAGCTAAAACTGCTTTTATGTGTATCAAAGTAAAACACATTAAGCAAATGTAGCTCTTCCAATTGAATATGCCAATTTTCATATATAAGCAAAAATTTTCATTGAATAAGTTATAGTACCATCAAATGCACCCATTGATCAATATACTCAGACCAATGGTTGACATGGTCCTCCAACAAACAAATATACAAATAAAAACTCATAGTTCCCACATTTTCTTGTTACAATATTAGATGAACATTAGTGTATAATCTAAAAAAAACAAATTTACAAATAATCATTAAAGAAAAGTGCCTACATTTGAAACAATTTCCCAATTTAAATCACTATAAGATGTATACAAAAAATCATTGAGAATTTAATCTAGAAAGTACATTTTAACAGTCATCCTTAAATAATAATCATTCATAATAACAAATCAAACAGATAAAATAAGAAGCCAATCTCACAATATATCACTAATTTAAATGAAACCTTACATAATTGATCACTATATTCATATAATCCTCTCAAAATGTCAAACGTCAGAAGAACTATTTTTTCAACTCGGCAATTAATAATTACACAACTAGTTATCGATCTTGTTGTAAGTTTGTTAGATATCATAAAACGTTATTGAATTTGATGCACATGCGCCGTGCTTGAATTATCACATTTCAGATCTTAGAGAATGTCACTTCTACTTTAATTCCAAGTGATAGTGCTATCAGGAAAATACCATTGTAGTGCATCTTTTCTCTCAGGAATATCCTCCATTATTTCTTCGAATGGTCGACTATCTCAATGTTCAGGCTTGAGGCTAGTCTTATAGTTGCATCACTTAATGCCTAGGAACTATATTCAACGTTCTATGTGGCCGAGAAATTCAAATTTGTATGGCAAGAAAATAGTATCATAAATATATTTACTTCATGAAGTCACCTTTATTTCAGCTAACATCTTATTCTTGAAGAGCTCCATGTCTTTATTGCCCCAATCTATGAATGATATGAGCGGCAAACTAGATCTCTCGCACTAACAGCTAAATATGAACAGTGGGACTCTGACATGTTGCAAGGCACTCCATTATCATTAATCTTGATATGTAAGCATGTCCTTGGTGGTAAATTCTAAAATTTTGTACAAGTCATGCACCCGGTATATCTCACTAGGGTGCCTTGTTCAATTGAAAGAAAAATAAAAAAGGATGAGCAGAGTATAGCTTACTTAAACTAAGCAATCATAATTCTTTAAAATGAAAATATAATTTTGACCATGTCGCTCCATAAAGCTACACCACATACCTGAAAGCCAAACCCCATCTTCTGATTGCGGTGCATGTAGTTTGTTGTAATCGTGCTCTTATGACTGAAGATTTAGTGGAGTAGACTTGTATTCTAAATGCTCCACTACTTTCTTACCTAATAAACCCGCTCTTGGTAATAACATTTTTTGGACGTTTTAGTGATGCTCCAACCTCATTTTTGCGAATTACAATGAAACTAACAATGTTAACAATAATAAAGTGCGAATTAAAATAGTACTAATGCAAGCATAAACAAAAAAAAAAGGTAGAATAAATTACATCATATATTCTACTACTAAAGTTTTGTGCATTCTTAAATTTTAATAAAATAGGGCATGTCATTTATTTTATTATTATTATTATTATTTTTGACAAATCTATGCTATAATATTTTAGTTATAGATAGACTTATTGTATTCTATGAACATAGATTTGATACCCCCACTCTCCAACACCAATTTATACAAGCAATTTCCTTACAAAAATTCGTATGAAGGTTCATTTGGATGCTTTTAGTTAGAAATCATGTTTGAAGAATGGTGAAATTACATCCCTAACTTTTCAAATCATTGTTGGACTATGATTATCGGATCATCATCACCCAATTACAATTGCCCAACTTTTATTGTTTATTTATAATCACTCAACCGCCATCGCTTGAAAATAATCACCTAAAATCTATTGCCATCTACAATAACTTAACCATCACCGCTTCACTAAACAACTGATACCATGTTATAGTCATCTAACTTTCTTATGTGATTTGTCTATGATTTCAAAATTTTTATTGCATAATTATGATCATTATTGTTAGCTGACCTTCAACACCCAACTACAGTCACTTAACTTACCTTTGTCATCGATTTACATTTGCTTAAGCTCTACTGCCTAACTGTTTAGCCCAACATATAACGTTCAACCACGATTCTCTAGACCTCCATCATTATTCTACAGTTGTCTGATTACCAATGTTTAACTACAATTACCTGAGTTTTATTGCCCATCTACTATTTTTTACCATCGTTCCTTGGTCATCGTAGTCTAAGTGCAGTCTTCTGACCATCATCTCCAGATATTACTTGTTATTCCATATAAGGCATATTCATGTTGTTGCACATTTCATTACTTATAAGATTGATGTATCTCTTTAATACACTCTATTTTATTTCTTCTAAGGCTGAAGCATGCCATTCATATATACCCTTGCTTATTATGTCTATGCACACCCTCAACGCCTGCCTTTGCTTTTAAAGTCAATCTACACAATCAATGCATGTCATTACCACTAAAGCCAATAAACATTGTTAATATAAGGTATCATCTATATTGTTAATGTACAACATCACTTGTATGGCCAATGCATGTCGTTGATGCACATTTTCATCTACATGGCCAATGCACATTGTCGACTCATGCCATTTGCATGTGTATGTCCTTATTAGGTCAATGCACATCGTTGACACCAATCCAACACCTACCATTATCATTGTCAATCATTACTAGCGGTATTTACACACATAATCATCAATAAGATCAACAAACATATTCCAATAAGATTATACTAATTTTCTTGGTCTCTCATTTCCTCAAAGAAAATCCATCAAACATGGCACGTATGATCTCCTGAAGATAACTCTAACATCATCACACTACTTTATCTCCTAATATAGTATTGTGATTGCACTATTCATGCATTCTATTATGTACTAACTTCTTCCCTATTTATAAGGAAGGGTGCTATTTATAATATATGACTTGCACATTATTTTTTTTTACATATTTTTGTAAATGAAATTTACATACATGCCCGAAAATTCGTATGTATGTATATATCTAACACCTACAGTTTTATATTTAAGTTTACAATACTTCTTGTCATGAATCTATGTGCTATAAAAGTATATTTTACTTTAAAAAAGAGTTAAATGAGAGCAATAATTTTGATGTTATATTAAATTTTGGAGTGTTATATATGTAAATACAAAAGTTAAACACATAAGAAGTGTGGGTGCACATGTAAAAGCCATTTTTTTTTTGTTAAATAATCATTGGTTCTTATAAGAATTCTCGTTATGTCCTTGCGAGGTTTGCTGCATCAATCATGTCTTTCTAACTCATGTATCTGCATACTAAATTTTTTTTTTCTGAAAGGGATGCAACTAAAATCTTCAAGAGGGCGTTTGGTAGTACCCTTTTAACATGATTTACATCTGAATTTATTGTAAATCTAACTAAACATGAAAATAAGGTAGCTAAATCTAATTTTATCTTCGTTCCATCTCTCTTTTTGATGTAAATCCAAATTTACTAAATTTGATTATTAGATAGATTTAACGGATTTATCATAGGAAGAAAACACCTCAAATAGATTTATACCAAAAATATCAAACGAGTTTATGCCAAAAATGTCAAACAAATTTAACCGGATTAAATTTTAACTGAACCAAACACTACTTCGTATTTAACAACAGCGGGATTTGATAAATCTAAAATCATATTTAACATATGTATACACAAATACGACCATACAAAAATTTTAATTTGTTTTTTATCTTACAGAATCAAGCCCATCCACAAAAGTGGTTTAATCAAGCCTATCATCCTAACTGACTGAATTAAGCCCACCTTGGAAGAACTTGATCCATCTTATTGCCATCTTCCTAGAAAGAGTAACTTAAATATATCCCTCTAAAGGTAACAATTTAAGAAAATCATCATTACCAATCAGGACATCCGTCAATCCTTCATTTCAGAAATTGCCCAACATTGGGATTCAATCCCATCACCTAGGTTATTGGGGACAGACCGAAGTACTTGCGATATCTAACATTAGCCAACAATACCTTATATTCACCATTGTTATAGTATGACTCATATACCATATAGGGACAGACGCTGGATCAAAGCGGAGTGGAGCGGAGCGGAAGAATCTGTCCAAATTGGAAAGTTACGTGGGTTGGGGTGCGGGGGCAAAGCCCCGCGGTTTGGTACAGTGGTAATGTTTTAATTACATATTGTGTCTAAGGTTTACTCATGGGGTTATAAATAGGTCTGTTAGTAACCCCAGAAGACATCCTGTATTCTGTAACCTCTTTTTTGAATATTGAAAGGAACTCGCCGCTCTGCTCCCGAGGACGTAGACATCTTTGCCGAATCTCGTTAAATCTCTGTGCTCGTTAAATGCCGAATCTCGTTAAATCTCTGTGTTCTTCTGGATTTGTGTCGTTACTGTTTTTATTCGTCCTAATTTACTCAACAAGTGGTATCAGAGACATGTTCGAGGGCAGAGAAGAAAACTACGGGGTCGCAGGAAATAAGAAGAACTATTTGGGGATTTTGGAATGAGAAGGATCTGTCTGGCTTCGGTTCGGAATCAAGGAGGCAAGAGGCGGGTCAAGATCTGCGCGAGTTGCTCATCGCGACCAGACCAGGAAGAACGCGCGGGTTTTCGGCGGGGTTCATCCGCCCGACAAGGAAGCAGAGGCATCGCAGGTTTGCGCGCAGAGGGAAGCTCCGATTCGCCGCTGGAAAGGAACGCTCGCGGGAGGTCTGCCAGAACCGGAAAGGAGCGGAAGAGGAGGAGGAAGAATCTTTGATTTCTACTTCCCTTCCATTAAAGGCTGGCGTGCAAGGATTTTGGAATTTATTCCGGCTGTGCAAGGATTCTGGAATTTCTTCCGCGGGAAGCTGCTGGAGAGGATTGGAAAAGGAAGTAAAAGGAAGGAATTTTTTTTATAGCAGAATATTCTTTCTATTTTTGCTTGATGGAGAAGAAGTCGGAGAGAGGAAATTCCAATTTTCTTTGGCTGAAAGGGATTCCTCCTTCTATTGCTGCTTGAGAAATTGGAAAGGAAAGGAGAGGATTTCCTTTATTTTTATCTTTTATTTCCAATTGGCCCGCCGAGAGTATTTTCTTTATTTCTATTGCTTTGCTGCTTGAGAAATGGAAAGGAAAGGAGAGGATTTCCTTTAAATTAAAGTAAAGCTTTTTAATTAAATTGCTTTAAGTTAAATTAAGCAAATTTAATTAAGGATTTTCTTTGCGGGATAAGAAGAGGAAATAAAGGAAATATTTATTTCTTTTCTCGGAGGCGGAGAGGAAATTTTTTGCTTTGCTCGAAGATTTCAATTTTTTTTCTTTAAAAAAAAAAAGTTTCTAAAGATTTTTGCAGAGAATTTTTTTTTTTTTTTCAAAAGGATTTTGTTGCAGGATCAATTTTCAGATGACATTTTCTGGTGTGAAATTCGAGGTGGTGAAGTTCGACGGAACTGGTAACATCGGATTGTGGCAAACCAGGGTGAAAGATCTGTTGGTGCAACAGAGAATCTTGAAAGCTCTGCGGGCAACAAAACCAAATGCCATGGAGGATGAAGATTGTGAAGAATTGCAACAGTGAGCGGCAGCGACGATACGACTATGTCTGACAGACAATGTTATGTATCACGTGCTGAATTTGAAATCTCCAGGAGAAGTTTGGAAGAAACTGGAAGCTCAGTTTATGGCTAAATCTCTGACGAACAAGTTGTATCTGAAGCAAAAGTTGTATGGACTGAAGATGCAGGAAGGTTCTGATCTAGCGCAGCACGTGAATGACTTCAATCAAATAATCACTGATTTATCACGGCTTGATGTGAGTATTGAGGATGAAGATCGAGCGATGATTTTGTTGTGTTCATTGCCCTTTTCCTTTGAACACCTGGTGACTACTCTGACATATGAGAAAGAAACTATCAAAGTGGATGAGATTACTGCAGCGTTGTTGGCTCACAACCAGCGGAAGCAGAATGCAGGGGGAAGCTCTCACGGTGACAATTTATATGTGAAGAGTAAGCAGAATCGTGGAAGGAAGAAAGAGAAGGAGGGATCTGGAAGGCAAAATTCCAGATCAAAGTCTAGAGGCAAAAAGGAAATTCATTGCTACAAGTGCAAGGAGCCAGGTCATATGAAGCGAGATTGTCCAAAGCTGAAGAAGCAGACTGGGGAGAAAGGTGAGACTTCATCAAAGTCTGTAAATGTGATGCAGAATGAAAATTCAGATTGCAGTGATGATGATATGCTCTTAGTTTCATCAACTCAGTTCACGGGTGCATGAATTATGGATTCAGGATGTTCTTATCACATAACACATAACAGAGAGTGGTTTACTTCATACAGGTCAACTAATTCGGGTGATGATAGATGCTGCAATATAGTTGGTATTGAAGAAGTCAGAATTCAGATGTATGATGACACAGCTAGGACGTTATGTGAGGTCAGACATATTCCAGATCTGAAGAAGAATTTGATTTCTTTGGGCACTCTACACGGAAATGGTTTTATTCCTAAGGCTGATGAGGATAGAGAAACCATCAGTATTGTTAAGGGTGCATTGACGGTGATGAAAAGAAAGTTGACTGCAGGTAATATCTACAGACTGTTAGGGAGTACACTTGTAGGTGGAGTTCATTCTGTTGAGTCAGATAATGACAACACAAAGCTATGGCATATGCGTCTGGGTCATCTCAGTGAGCGTGGGATGACAAATTGCATAGAAGAAATCTACTGCATGGGGTTAAAAGCTGCAAGCTTGATCTTTGTAAGTTCTGTATTCTTGGAAAACAGACTAGAGTCAGTTTTATGATTGGAAAGCACAAAACTGAAGGAATTCTTGACTATGTATGGGGCCCTACTAGGGAGTTGTCATTGGGAGGATCTCGGTATTTTGTTACCTTTATTGATGATTTCTCCTGAAAAGTTTGGGTGTATTTCTTGAAGCAGAAATTTGAAGTATTTTCTAAATTCAAGCTGTGGAAAGCTGAGGTTGAGAACCAAACTGGCAGAAAGATCAAGTATTTGAGGTCCGATAATGACACAGAGTACACATATTCGCAGTTTCAGAAGTTCTGTGAGGGTGACAAGGTCACAGAAAAGGTATGGACAGATAATCCAGTTAAATTCAATCATTTACGGATTTTTTATTGTTCTGCTTATGTGCATTTACCTGGAGATGAAAAATCCAAACTTGATGCAAAATCCAAGAAGTGCATCTTTCTAAGCTACCAGAAAGGTGTGCAAGGATGTATTTTTGGGATCCGATTACAAAAAAGATGGTGATCAGCAGAGATGCAATTTTTGATGAGCAGTTTATGCTACAGCAGAATCAAGACAAGGTGTCAGGGAACAGTTCCAGTTCA